TTAAGTAAATTTTTCGAGCTCGCATCAGTGAAGACGGTAGAAATATTGTGCCAGAAAGTGAATGCAGATGCGAAAAACAGATTGTTACTAACAGGAGGAAAACCAAGACTGACATTTCCGCCGCACAGAAGATGCCAGTAGGAAACGTACAGCAATGGCGTTTACCGCAAGCAGTCTCTCTAACAGTTGACACTCTTCAAAGCAAGAGTTGATTATAAATGCCATGCGAGTAGCAGCCGGGCGCAAAGCGTCATCATTTGAACTGAAATCCTTCGCTGGGAACAGCAGCCGACGACGATTCGAACATCGTGCTCTCATCAGGAGGTGAAGACTGCAGCTGAACATCTTCGTCTGTCTATAAAACTGCACTTCAGCAAAAGAAATGAGCCTTTTCGAATATTTTCGCCAGCATACATCAACTAGAAAGTACTTATCGATGATATCATACGCGAATCGGTAGATGCTTTCGTTTTCGTGCGTTTGCAACAATTCAATTTTGTCCAACCCTGAAAAGTGCAATTTGTTAGTCTGTCGCACTAAACAAGCGGCTACACTACGACAGTACCTTTGCATTCCTCTATCAAACGACAAATTTGCTCCGATTCGTTCTCTGCCATTTTCAATATATTGTTTAGGCCGTCAAGAACGACATGAACAACTTGCGTATCCGAAACTCCAAGAAGTTGACAGAACGGAGGAATGACGCCTTGCTGAACCATATATGCCACTTGTTCCCGAGTGCCACTGATCGTAACATTGCTCATCGCCCAAGCAGCTTCCTTCTGTGTCTGGAACTCGCCCTGAGAAATGAAACGAATTGCTATGAAATAATGACTTCAACACAACCTATATTTATGACATTAGACGCATGGGGCGTGCGCAGAATCGAAATGGGGGTCCTCGACTAATGCGTTTTCCAATACATCACCTCAAACTTTCGGAAAATTGCAAACTTTAGCCTCCACTCAGAAAGATGACGATATGCACAAGTGTGCGCAAAACTACTAAGTAGGATTTCCTCGGTAGCAACCATCCAAGCACACACAAATATCTATC